TTTGGTCAAAATCAGTAATGTTACAGAATCTTTTGAAATTTTCATAAAAATTAAATAATATATTAATACACAGTTTTGTTGAAGCTCAGTGACCTTTACCGTGTAGTTTTCGAGATATTCCTCTTCAAAGTTCACTGTTTTTCTGCATATTTAGCATTGCGCTTATGGCCGCTGCGACCGAAAAACGGACAACTTGAAATATATTCTTTAATAATTGTTGATGCACAATAAGGATTTAGTTCAAAAACAAATCAAAATTACTTCAGTGTTCAGGGATCGTAATTCTTCAAAGACGATGTGATTAACCGTACGGTTGCAGAGTATTATTAATTGAAAAATAGTAGTTGGTTGTACATTCTTCCTCACCGTGAGCGATACAGAGGACGTGGCAACGTTGCAAACTGTTGTGGAGTACGGCGCACCGATCATTTCCCCGCATCGTCTGTTCATGCGGGGTTGCCACATCTCGAACTGTGAAAAGGCTACGTTTATCAAAATAATACCGTTTTTCTTGAAACTTCTATTATTCCCAAATATTCATGTTTCGAAATAAGCAATATTATTTAAAAACGGACCCTTTTATTTTAGTGAAAACAATTCCTATCTTCTTTTAAATATAAAAATGAAAAGATATTACTTTGACTAGCATCGTGTACCAAACCACCTTAATTAGTAAAATTCTTTCTTTTGATTAATCAAAAACTTTGAAGCATTTGTAGCGCCAAGTGAACCGTAAAGCCCATTCTACAATTGCGTAAGCGTAGTTGTAACTGGTTGTAGTTAAGAATTAATCAATCACAGTCAAATATTCTCCTCATATTTGACTGTGATTGGTTAATTCAATTACAACTACAACCAGTTACAACTACGCTTACGCAATTGTAGAATGGGCTTAACTGAACATAATATAATGATAGATAACCAACTTACACAGGAAAATAAAATATTCAAATACTGTCCTTGTACTTAATAAAAATGCACGCATTATTTTGAAATAACAATTCTTAATCAATAAATTCTTCAATGACTTGTAAAACCTTAATCAAACATTTCGTCCTCTTCTCTTTTGGAACATCTTCCATTATGGTAGCAATTGTGGCAGACAGTGATTCAAATGCAATATTTTTAGGAAGTGATGGTTTGATTTGCTTGTGTGACACAACATTTTCAACAGTATTAGCCATCTTATCCATCATCTGTACTGCTTGTCCGAGAAAACCATCCATGTTATTCTTCTTTCGCTTCGCAAAGTTGTCACATGGAGGTACAACGATTTCCGTATTCGCTTTGGATTTAAACTTTTTGGTTATAGTAGATGTGCCAAATGATTCTGATGTAGATATGCGATCTTTAGAATTTATTTCTTTGGTAGCAGATGGAGAAAAAGGTACGGATTGTATTGGATTTGTTTCAATGGTTTTGTTTATAAGCATTGAGGAAGATGATGACGACGAATATTGACTATGTACAGGTGAAGATATTTCAGATACTGATTGTATAGGAGAATGGCAACTGTTATTAGTATTTGCAGAATAGGACATTAAAATATTGTAAATATTAAAAATCCAAAATATATTCAACATCCCCAATGACATCTGACACTTTTTACCTGCTATAGATTCTGTTAAGTCGATGCTCCAAACTGATTCAAATGGAAAATTGGTGTTTGACTCATCATCAATTGCAGCTGATTCTGTTGATGTTGAAGGTATTTGTATGGAGATAGGTACCTTCATGTTTGAGCGAGTCCTGCATATTGCATAAAAAAATCAGATACACAATTTGAGTTGCACATGAAAAAAGATATAAATATACGTTCAACTTATATTCGAGGCTTGTAATGAGGAATAAGGAAGCTCATTTCCGCATAATAAGCGAAATCGATTCCCTCACTCTCATCTTGATCATTAATTGCACCAGAACCTGAAGGAATATATTCCTTTCGTTTGCGATGGGCTCGCACAAACATTGTACGGAGGTTATCCCAACGTTTCTGCACAGCTTCACCTACAACATAAAGTAATCTTGAATTTAATTTTAATAATTAATAATAAATTAATTTTATTATATTAATTTTAATATTAAAGAAAAATACGAGCGAAACAAAGCAATTTATATTTACAAACCTGATTTTGGTTTGGTCAGGGCAGCGCCCACTTGTTCCCAACAAGATTTTTTATCAACATTTTTATATGTTTTTATATTTTTTGCGTACAGGCATGGATTACTCTGTACAATTTTAATAATTTCGAGGTCGTCCAGATTCATTTTTTGAGAATTCAACAGCTAGATTACTCACTAAATGACACACGCGTAAAATTTCGCACTATTTTTAACCCGCTAAAAACATAGCTACCGAAGCTACATGATTGGTCAGTCGTAAGAAAATCGGTAGTCTGTATCTTAAATGTTGGCTGTTGGCCAACCTTACGGATTCACCGATTACGACTCACAGATAGCCCTTCCGACTCACCGATAGCGTCTTATGACTAAAGCTGCGATCTCACGGAGATATGCATATCTAGATATTTCCCCCACTCCCATCAGTATAGCTGAAAACAGAGCACTATCTCGATATCCAGATGTGATATCCGATAGTTCGATTTATCGAACTATGAGATTTACATTGGATACGCGACGACCAGCGAAGATTCAAAATGCAGGATAACATTATTGTTGTTAATATAATTTGGCATAACCTAAAATATAATAATAAATTTGAATAAAAATATCGCTTTCTTCTTAATCTTGTAAAATGTATGAAATATGTATTGTAATCCTTTTATATACATTTATATTTCAGTTAATATGTTACGAGTGTAACAAAAAAATAGAACAAGATGCAATTTTTTCTCACATTTGCTTCGCAGATATAGAAAATGTATATTTTTCAGGACAATATGTAATGAAGAGTGGTATGAGTTTATCTATTTTTTAATATAATTCTTAGCATGCTTATTAAAATTAAATAATAAAAAAGTAATACGTATTGTGGTGCTGAAACTGGTGCGTTCAATTCGTATACTGTTCTTTGTTACGTTGTTGTAAACCTGAGGAAACTCAAGTAATTTACTTATCATTCATTAGATATGCATGTCTGTGAAGTTGTAAAAAATTTTGAAGTTTTCCCTACGAAAAAAGTTACAAATTTTTTATCTAATGTCCTGTAAGGACTCTATACCAGTTTTGTATGCTAGTTTCAGCCTCATATATGCAGGGAATGGAAAGTTACTTTTTAAAAATAACTAGTTACAGTTACTCGTTACCGAGTAAAAAATGTAACTAGTTACAGTTATAGTTATCGCTTTTTAAAAGTAACTCGTTACAGTTACCGTTACTTGAAAAATAACTTTTCGTTACTTTTCCGTTACTTTTTTAAAATCAATTTAAAAATGTACTTTTGCATTTTTTTTT